GATCCATGTGTCATCGGGCTCTGGCCCGGGGGTGGTAGTGGTTGTCTCCCTTGTGCCGTGCATTCGGTGACGAAGTCGGCCAAGGCTTGCCCTTTGATGGATGGCCTTGGCCTGATCTCAATCTAAAATTGGCTGAGGAAGATCGCCCATTTCACCATCCTGGAGGAGCTAGTGGGGCTCCTCATGAGTGCGCCAAGGGGCTGCTGGGTCACTACATGGACGACATGGGCCTGGAAGTAGTGTCCCAGCTTTTTCACCGTATGGACGATGGCTAGCACCGTCTTCTCAATGGGGGAGTACCTGAGCTCGGCCTCCCTAAGTGTTTTGCTGATGTAGAAAATTGTCTTCTGCACCCCTTCGTCCTCACGGATGAGCACGGAGCTGATGGCCGACGTGCTCACCCCTAAGTACAAGAAGAGGGTTTCGCCGGCTTTGGGCTTGGAGAGCACTGGTGTGGACGAAAGGTACCTCTTCATCTCTTCGAACGCTTCCTGGCACTTCATCGTCCATTTGAAGCTGTTTGCTTTGTGCATGATCTGGAAGAAAGGGAGTGACCTCTCGGCTGACTTGGAGAGGAAACGGCTCAGGGCCGCCAGGCGCCCCGTCAGCCGTTGTACCTCCTTGACGTTGCGGGGCGGCTCCATGTTGATGATAGCCTGTGTCTTCTCCGGATTTATCTCGATGCCTCTCCGGCTGACCATGTAGCCGAGGAACTTGCCGCCTTGGACGCCAAAGGCGCACTTCTTGGGGTTGAGGCGGAGCTTGAACTCCTTCATGATTTCAAAAATTTCTCGGAGGTCGTCAGCATGTGTGGTGGCTTGCCTGCTCTTGACAATCATGTCGTCGACGTATGCCTCCATCGTCCGGCCGAGGACTGCTCTAAAGATCTTGGCCACCATCCTGGTATAGGTGGCGCCGGAGTTTTTGAGTCCGAAAGCCATGACGAGGTAGCAAAAAATTCCCTCCGGGGCCATGAATGTCGTCTTCTCAGCGTCATCTTCATGCATGAAAATTTGGTGGTACCCTCTGAAAGCATCAAAGAACGACATCAACTCGCATCCCGCCGTCTCATCCACCAACTGATCAATGTTGGGGAGAGGGAACGGGTCCATGGGGCACGCCTTGTTCAGGTCAGTGTAATCAACACACATTCTGAATGTCGGCGGTTTTTGGGCGAGGACGACATTGGCTAACCACGTCGGGTACTTCACCTCCTTGATGTAGTTCATTGAGAGGAGCATGGCGACCTCCCCTTTGACGAAGTCCCGCCTGTCGGCGGATAAGTAGCGCCGCTTCTGCTTGACAGGCGCGGAGGCTGGATCGACGGTCAGCCGGTGGGTGATCACCTGCCGGCTGATGCCTGGCATGTCGTCCGGGCCCCACGCGAAATTGACGGCGTATGACCGTAGGACGAGGAGGATGGCGTCCCGCTGGTCCTGTGGGAGTTGCTTCCCGATTTTGAGGACCCGCTCCGACCGGGAGGTATCCAGAGGGACTTCCTCGACCTCCTCGGCTGGTTCGGCATGCGGTGTCTCCTCGTCCTTGGCAACGGCTGCCGTGATGGTGTCTATCCTCTGTCCTTCCCTCTCGGCCGGCCACGTTAGCTTGAGGTAGCATGCTCTGGCTATCCTCTGGTTTCCTCTAGCGTAGCCGATGCCGCCATTGGTGGGGAGCTTCAGACATAAGTGCTTCATGGAGATGATGGCCTCCAAGTCCTCCAGTGCTGGCCGCCCCAAGATCAGGTTGTGGGCGCACTGGAGGTTGACCACCATGAATTCCATGTCAATTTTGGCACGGTGTGGGCCGTCACCGACCTCCACGGGGAGGACTATCGTGCCCTCGGCGTCGATAGAGTCCCTAGTGAAGCCGGACAACGGTGTCTTGATCGGCTTCAGCAGAGCTTTGTCCAGCTTCAGCTGCCTGAAGCCTGAAGGTGTCCAGGTACATCACATTGACGGAGCTCCCTGTATCGATGTAAGTGCGGTGGATGATGGAGTCACCGATCTCACACCGGATGACGAGGGCGTCCCTGTGTGATTCCGTACCCGGAGGCAGATCTTTGTCGGTGAAGATGATCGCCTCCATTCGCTGCTTCTTCGGCTGGGGGGGGCGTGGGACACCTCCCCAATGTAAAGGGATTGGGCCCATTTCTTCCTCTGGTGACGGAGTCCCCCCCGGTATTCCCACCTACGATGAGGTGAATATGGTTCTTCTTTGGCGGAGGCTCTTCAAAGTCCTCGTCGTCGCTGAGCCTGCCGATCTCCCGCTTCTTCGTAGAGGGTTCGCCCTCAGGTTTGCCGGTGTTTACCCACGTTTTTTTGTGCGGGCCACCTTTAACAAATTGGGAGAGTTCCCCCGGACGAATAAGGCGCTCGATGGCTTTCTTCAGCGTGATGCAGTCGTCGGTGTTGTGTGAGGAGTTCTTGTGAAATCGGCAGTATGTGCCGCCTTGCTGGATGGCGTGGACCTCCTCGGCCGGCCGAGGAGCTTGCTCAATGAGGCCATGCTTCTCGGCGTAGTCGAGGATGGTGTTGACCGGGTGGGTGAGGGGGACCCCAGACCGTTCCAACCTCGTCCGCCAGTGGCGGTCTTTCTTGCTTTGTCCACCAGAGCCGTGACAGCCCTGGGCACCCTGGCCGGCCGGGGATGGTCCCGGGGCCGGCGAAGGATTTGTCTTCTTGGAGGGATGGCCTCCCTCTTTTTTGTGGTTGTGGAGCTCGTCGGCGTCGGCGTACAAGCTCCCGCGCTGAAGTGCCTTTGCATACGACCTTGGAGGGTCAGTGATGAGGCTCCTGGCGTACGGGGAGCTGCGGAGGGCTCTCTGGTATAGGACGAGGAGGGTGCGCTCATCGGCCCCCTCGACCTCTTCGGTCTCCCTCGTCCATCGATCAATAAATGACCGGAGGGGTTCATCATGTTGCTGCTTGACGGAGAGGAGATGGGTGAAATACTTCTTCGCACGCTTCCTCCCGGCAAAGTGGGTGAGGAAGCGTTGGGAAAGGTCTTTCCAGGAGTCAATACTTCCTTTGGGAAGCGCGTTGAACCACTCGTACGCCGGCCCCTCAAGGGTAGAGAGGAACCAACGGCAGAGATATTCATCTGACGCGTTCACCATCAGCATGTTGTTCTGATAGCGGCTGAAGTGCTCCTGGGGGTCTGATCGGCCATCGTAGGACTTGATGGCGTTTCCCCTGTATTTCTCCGGGATGGGGGCCGAGAGCACCCTGTTAGTGAAAGGGGTCCTGGTCCTGACCTGGATGCCGGGGTCACCTCGTCCTTCGGCCAGCTCCCTCTCAAAGGCGCTGACCTTGTTCATGAGAGCGTTGAGGTCAGGATCGTTGGAGGCGCCGGCCGTGGGGATGTTTTCCGATTGCCTGGCCTCCATCTGGGCCAGCCTTCTTTCCAGCTAGGCGATGACCTCGTCACGGGGATCCCTGGCGGCCGCAGCGGCGCCCTGCTGGTTCTTCATGCGCTCGTCGTGGGCCGCGTTGATCTGGTGGCGCACGTCGTCCTCGTGCAACTTTCCCTTGCCCTTGTCCAGGCGGGGCTGGTCCGCTGTCCGGGACACAGACCCCAAGCTTTCCCTTGGCGAGCCAGGTCGACGCTCACCAATCCGCCCTGCCATCCTCTCCGAAACTGGACGACAGCGCATGTCACCTAGCCTATTGAAGGCAGAGGCTTTTCCACGCGTTGGGGTCTGCCCAGGCCGAAGAGGGGAAGCGGGGTGGGAGTGGGACGACGTCGTGTCCTCGGCCATCACCCCCTCATCGTTGCCTAACCTGACGGCCAAGGCTGAGGAGGTGGAGTGACGTTCCCCCCGGTCCTTGGCAAGAGTGCGCTGAGGACGGTGGGGTTCTGAGCCAAGCTGGCGATGATGACCGACAACGCGGCCTGGACCTGTGGATCCACAGACGGAGAAGCCACGGCCATAGGCTGGGCCAGAGCGTGGTCTGTCTTCTCAGCTCGTTTCTTGTCCAGGCCGATGCGTGCGTCAGGGGCTCCGCCGTTGAGTTGGTTGCGGAGGTCCGTCGTGAGGTTGATGGCCTCCTGGAAGACGTCCCCTCCACCGACCTGGTCGGCCGTGGCATCCTCCTCGCGCTCCCTGGTCTCCTGGTCCTCAGGGATGGCCTTGCTGACGAGGTTGCGGTTTGACTTAGTTCTTCCCATAATCAGTGGTTAGCTGTGTTTGGTAGCGACGAAGGGTGCTAACTTGATTGTTCTAGCTCTCAACGAGAGCACCAAATGATAGAGTATATATCTAGAGAGAAGTGAGAGCTAGAGAGAGAAGTGCAAGTAATGCTTCAATAGAATGATTTTGTAACCCCCATAACTACCTCCAGAGGAAGTATTTATAGGAAAAATACGGGCTGGGCTCCCAAGCCTTGGGCTTGGGATGCCGATTTACAACTGGACCGCTATTGGGCCGAATACAAAGTAGCTGATGGGCTATATACATGAATAAGTGTAAAATCCAGCTCTGCGAGTCCTCCGTGGCCGACGAGGGTCTGGCCGACGAGGGCACGGCCGATGAGGGCATGGCCGACGAGGACACCCTGGTTCCCTGACTTCAGGATCATATTCTGAGTTGGCCCCTCTTCGGCCGACGAGGGTCCTTTGGCCGACGAGGGCACCGCTTAGTGGCTTGTGCTTTCTGTCCTGAGTATGTGGGTTCTGGGGCCTAGACTCATATACTCTATCATACTTGTATTCGTTTTAGTAATATTTAATATTGAATTACTAAAAGTAATTTTAAATGTCTATTATAATGAAATAAAAATGAATCTAAATAACATACTCTGTATTGATTATAACTAAAAGAACAAAGAGAATTTGATGAGTATATTTTTAAATATTTCTATTACACTTAATGAAAAATAATGACTATTAAATATAATTTAAAATAAATGCAAATATAAGGACAAATATACAAAGTATATAATATTGTTGATGCTTATACATATTCAGACATAATGTATAGACAAAATAGAATTTGGATGTATGATAAACATGCGGTATTGTACAGAATGCAATCAAATTTTCTTGAAGGAGTTGAGGAGTTTTATTTCATTCGCACTTGAACACTCGGCTTATATGAGTGGTGATAAAATCAGATGTCCATGCATGTTCAAAGTATAAAAATCTCAAATTTAAACATCCAGACGAAGTTGGGTGGGATTTGTACGCGGACGGTTTCGTTCCCAATTATTATATAATTGGACTTCTCATGGCGAACCTTTGGATCCATCTGTTTTACCACAAACGGTAGGTTCGTCTCGTGACTTCCCTGCAGAGATGAGTGTGTGGGGAGACCCTGCTGAAATGAGATGGGAGCAACATATGGTATATGACGCATACGGTGCATCGATGTCTCATTTCAACCCTCCACAACCATCTAACGATCCTCCTGAAACCTCGACCTCGTATCAACCAGATGAGGATGAAAATATGATATTTTATCAACCTTATGTGGATGCAGGTTTAACTGAGAGATTTCAAGATGTTTTAAAAGCAGCCGATCAACCCCTGTATGCGGATTGTGAGGGATAGTCTCAACTATCCGCCGTTACAGAGTTTATGAACATAAAAGCTGAATACAGTCTCCCTGAAACTTGCATGACTAGAGTCTTGCAGTCAGTAGGCGGGATGCTACCACGTGATCATAACCTCCCCGATTCATATTACCACATTATATACGGAGTAGTATATATACTCCGTATATAATATACGAAGTACTTTGTATGTGTGCACTTATATGCACACAAAAATTATACAATGGTCCTAAAAAGTAAGGTATACTTCGAATTGTATGAATACCGAAACAATTAATCAAGATTGAATTAAGGAACTAGTTGGGGCTTTAAACAACTCTTGTCATCGGGATAAGGGCTATCTGTCTTTCGAAAAATCTTTCTGTCAAAAAACCAATCTCCTGCCGCCTCCGCTATCGTCTGCTTCATCAAAACACTCCAACAATGTAATTCAACAGTTGAGTAATACAATGTACATTTTACTACCAACAGTTCTATATTACGTATATATAGTACGGAGTACTACGTAAATATGCATGACATTAATAATGGCATATTAATACTTCGTATATGATAATGTTAAAACATGCCAGTATTTATTAATATAGCTGTATTTTACTTGTATTCTAAGAAAATACGTAGTACTCTTATTTTGAGAGATATCACACTATTTTGCTCCTATTTTCAGGTGATTTCGCTTGGCTAATTGGCTTAACTTTGTTTGCACTGTTTATATAATTTAAAGCTATCCACAACGCAATGTCATTAATATATAGGGTATGTTTGACACGACTAGTTGAAAACATACTTTTGTGAGTTTTTTAGTAACTGATAGCTTTTAGTGATTGAAAAAATCTTAAAAAGAAAAGGTGATAGCTGTTTGGTAAAAAGCCGACTGTTTGATTTAATTCTGTTTGATATACAAGCTGTTGGGACAAATTAATACTCCCTCCGGTCCTAAATACAGTTCGGTGTTTAACTTCACATAAATTAAGGAAATAAATTTGACTTTGTTGTAGAGTACACTGTTGTGACACTGTTTGGCACTGTTTTGTACTGTTTTGGACTTTAATTTGAACCGGCCCAAAAAGGAAAGCGTGAACTTTATTTAGGACCAGAGGGGGTACTAAAAGTCACGGTCTTTTCTCGGATGCTACTCACTGTAGCATCTCAAAAAAGATCTTTTATTTTTTGAAAAACTCTTAAAAATTTTCATGCCAAACATACAACTAAAAGATTTTAGAGACTTTTTAAACAGTACGAATGCTAGAAGGCAGAGACTTATGTCTGCCAAATATGCGCATAGTCTCAAATATTCACACCTCAATATGAATATAACATACTCATTCCATCCACACAAGTTTTCTACATTACACTACAAGCTAGAGTCAATATATTTTGCATATGTGATCAATAATGAAGCCTAATTATGTTGTAACATATATATAAATATATAGAATCAATTTTTTATGAATAATATAACTTCCAAATTGCATACTCCCTCCGTCCCTAATCTTTCTCCCTTTTCGGCTGGGCACATTTATTAAGATAGTGGGATTTGTGTGGTGGAGAGTTGTGCAGAGGAGAGAGAAATGTGTAAGAATGTGTAAGAATGGTTGTGAACCACAAATTTTTTGCTAAAAGGGGGAAGAAAAAGGAAAGTTTGAAGATAATTTAGGGACAGAGGGAGTAATTTTTAAACAGCTCAAGTATTAATATGTTTCGGAGTATTTTAAATACGTAGTACGAAGTATAATTTTTTGGTGCAATTCAGCACATTTGGCTCATTCAACCGTTTGAGTTAAAATTTCATCAACCAATTCATCTCATTTCAGGGCTATCTAATTAACGGACTCTTAATGTTTTCATGGCTTTTATACAAAAACGTCATGTTTCAGTTATAAAATGTAGTTTTGTCTTCAATTATATACCTTTTGAAGTAACATTGGAGAAGAAGGCATGTTCCAGAGCTCTTGTAATTCAGTTTGGCAGTGCAAAAAGCAAGAGTTGATAAAGTACCCACCGCCACTTCTACCAATTGGAGAATACTTAAATCCCTTCAAAGCCGCTAAAAACTCTGACCTAAAATCTGCATGCATATATGCAACAAATGTGTCTCGCATCAATATATGGAGGAAAGGACGAAAATACGGTGTTTTGTTGTCTGAGAAGTCAAAATACGGGAGTTCACGGTACAAAAATATGGGAGTCGGAATGAGGAAATCCGACTTGAGGAGAGCTTCGAAAATAGGTCAAATCCGTGGTTGGAAGTATGGAATCCGATTGGAGTATGTAATTAATTTTTTTTGAAACCCTTCTTCTGGTTGGAAGAGAGAAATCCGACTCCCGTAATTTTGGAAAACTTAGATTTTCCGCGTAAATTTGCAACGCATGTTAACTTTTCCCGTATTTTGGGAAATTACCCCAATATATGCATAGTACTAATGAAATAAGCATCACAAGCATTTGCAATTCCAATTATTAACCTTGGATAGTGTTGAGTTGGCTAACAGAGCAATAGCGTATATCAGTCTTGCACATTTTCCACTTTCCTGATGGATCGACTGCACTTGGAATCAAGGCGTTTCTGATCTGTATTTTATGTTCTTTCAATTCAAATTATTCTTCAAAATGTTCAATATGTGAATATATACTTGAGAAATTGCCCTAAATATGAGTAAATGAAATTGCCCGAAATAGGAGTTACTACATATATGAAAAATAATGTCATGATTGAAAAAACACTTCCATTAATTATAATAAATAATGTCATGTTAAATGCACAGTATTGCAACTATTTGGCAGTCATGCTTACATGATGACAGTAAATATTGTGATGTTAGTACTATTTTGGGAAAAAAAATATAACAGTCATAATTTGAAATTTCAACCCTAATTTACTTCTATTTTGTGAAATCTCGTAAATAGTATTCTCTGTCACACAAGAGTGACATCTTTGACTTTCTTGATAAGTACATGGTAAACTTTGATAAGAGATTTCAGTTAGTTGGTATCCTTCTACACAAGTTAAATGTTCTCGGTAGGTTTACAATTTTTGACTGGTCAGAAAGTTAAATGAGCTATGTCATTCATAAGATTGTTTTGAGTAATTAAAATTTATACTAGTATATTGAGAAACTAGATTAAAATTTTTATAGAATCTCAAAAACAAAAATCAAATTTGATAAAAGTTAATCATATAAAGTAAAAGATTAAAAATAATTTACATTCGACTGCAAAATAATTGACACAAACTTTTCCATGAGCCAAAGATAGTACTATGCTTTTATGAAAATTTTCACATATCATATTCATATAATCATATCATGGAAAATTTAATATTAAGAATGTGATTGGCCTAATTTGAAGATGGCTAAAAAAGTCCAAAACAAACATGTTTGTAAGATGGAGGGAGCATAACATAATAATCCGAAAAAATGTTTGAGGTGAAAATTTTCAATTATATATTCAAACCTGCCAAGTGTCATAGGCTGCGTTTATCAGGAACAGTGGTGTTGTAATGTCTGGAGTTACATTTTGTGGGAAGAAACACTGCAAATTTATTTTAACATTTGCTCTCATCAATAATTATACAAATCAAACTACCATAAATTAAAGTACACATTTTATAAAAAAATGACATGTGTACTAGTACTAGAGCTTTCCTGAACAAAAATATGACTAATTATGTTTTTGAAAAAAAAATATGACTAGTCACTGTGTACAAGTAACTGTACAAGAGTAAGTATAGTGTATTTTAGAATGACAAGTCACTGTAGACGACGGGTCACTGTGAACTAGTCACTAAATATGTTGCTTTTTGAATTTTTTTAAAATAAGTCATATTTTTATCTTTTAAATTTAATTTTGTAATATTAATGAGAAAAGGTAGAATTATTTAGTTTATCCAAAAAAGCTAAATTAAACCACAATAAAATATTCCATTTAATTTTATTAGTGAGTACTACCTCATCTGATTCTAATGTTTTCATTTCCCTTTTTTAGATGTCTAATAATAATTTAATCATCAAACACTAAAAATAAAGCATCTATAACATCATAATTATCATAAATGTTACCTCATTATATTATATTATATTATATTATATTATATTATATATTCATAAATCGTGTCGAAACTATTAAGATATAACACATTTATCCCAATATCGTATGATCTCATTTTAACCATTTCTATTGTCATTGGTAAGGATATACGGAGTCGTACGGGGTACAGCACTTAAAGATGTGTCGGTGTACGTATATAAACATTTTTCTTACCAAGCTTGCTTTTAGCTTTGAGGTGCATGACTTGGGCAAATTCTTCGCAGAAACCTGAAACAAAATTCAAATGAATTGCAATTAAGAATTTTGCCATCCGAACAAAATCGTTTACAAGAAAGAGTAAACACCATTTTGCCATCAATGAATTAATTAGTAACGTGAAATTTCAATACGAATAAAAGAAGGTCATTTGAGAGATACATTCATTATGGGAGATTTTCCAAAAAGGAGTAAATGAAGTTTGAAATTCCAAAATAGAACTACTTTGTTTTTATTCCCGAAATGGGACTAACATGACAGTATTTACTGTTATTTTGTAGTCGTGATTGTCGAAAAGTTGCAGTACAGTGCATTTAACATCACAATATTTATTATAATTAATGACAATATTTTTCAATCATGACAGTATTTTTCATACATGACAGTAATAACTCATATTTTGGGAAGAAAAATATACTAGTCCTATTTTTGGAATTCCAAGTGTCATTTCCTCCTATTTTGGGTAATTTCCCCACTCATTATTCATGAAGGTCATCTCTTAGTTTTTAAGTCAAACTTTTCCGGTTCTATATAATATTTTAGTCACGGAAAATACACCCATGTGCTACGAATGCACAACCCACACGGGAGGAGGTATCAACTAGTAAAGTGATGAGGAAGTTTGGGTAATGATAAAAGATCGAATTCTGCAACTGTCGTGTGGAATCGCAAATTTCTATGTGGTGGGTTGACAGGGGCGGAGCCACCATTGTTCAAAAGTGTTCACACGAACACCCAAAAATTTGAAAAATGGCAAGTATATGTAGGTAAATTTAGTGTAATTATTAATCGTTCTTTAAATTCTTAACTGTGAAAACAAATTGAACACCCAAAATGGAAATTCAAGATCCGCCACTATGGGTTGAGTCTCTGGTGCGCTCAAATATAAGGCATATCATCAATTCATCGATATGATTGATTTACAACTTCCTTATATTCTCTATCGGGACGGGAGTTGTGGAGCTCTTACTATTGGGGAATTAAACCTTTTTAACAATATGCCAAGAGTGCACATAATCACACGTATTGACAAACAAAATCACATGTGTGTGTCAGGTGTGGAGCCATGGGGCCACGGTGGTCATTCGACCTCCGAAATTTTGAGAATATATAAAGCATTTAAATACTTTCGATTTGATATATTATGACTAGCAAATTTGGAAAGACATTCGACTTTAGAAATGATGCTTCACGGTGTTTTACTTATTTTTAGAACCGGAGGGTGATAAACTTGAATTAATGCATCGGAGATACTCTAAACTTAAAATAAATAAAGTTTGATGTGTGATAATGATTATATTCTGAAAATTCAAAAATAACGTCTATTTACTAAGTACCTATATGAAATATGTCTATAATGTATATGACATATATATCAAATTTATAACTCTAGTAGTTTCATTTAAACTACTCTATCTTATCTAAGGGTGTATTTGGGAGTTGGGTTTTGGAGGGGAGGGGAAGGTTAATGGGGTTTATGACCATCTTTTTCATGTTTGCGAGTTTAAAAAATTGGAGGGTTTGGAGGATAATTAACATGGTAATTTAAGCTAAATTAAAAATGAATATCAGCTCAATGATTTGAATTCATCATATCTGAAGGTGATTTTAATTATAATTCTTTCAAAAATCCTCTTCCAATTTTATTACTCCCAAATACAAAGAAGGGCTTCTTCACCCTCCCTTCTCTTTCCCCTCCAACAACATACCTCCAAAGTCTTGCCCTCCACTCAGGGGCGGATCTGGCATAGGGCCAGGGAGGGCCTAGGCCCCACCTCAGAAAAAAAAAGAAATTACTAGTGTATATATATTATATATGTACTGGGAAGAAATGGTATAATTAAAAACAAACGTCCTATTATAAACAAAAGGTATGTTGGTGTGATGGTAGAGGCGTGATTGGTAATGTAGAGGTTATGTGTACGATTCCTAGCTGGAGCAGCATTTTTTTTGTATAGTCCAGGAACATGCTATCTTACACAAATCAAGTCTGAATTTTAACTTTTGAATACTAGGATGCAAAAATTAGGTAGTCCAACTAATTGGGCTTTATTAGTCTGAAAAACCAACTAGTTCAATTGATTGAACTTTTTGAATATTGTCCTGAAAATTAATTAGTTTAATTCATTGGACTTTTGAATATTGACCGAAAAATTAATTAGTTGAATACATTGGATTTCGTAGGTGAAAATAAGTTTTCTTTACATAGAGTATCGATTTTAGAGTAAACAAATCGGTTTATCTTGTTTCCGAGAAACTAACCTAAAAATGGGCACTAAACATTTGGGTAACCCATAAAACTTCGGTTCGATATCTATGACTTTTAAGATAATTGTATTGTCGGTTCTGTAATATTCAATTTACTCTATGACATTTCTATAATTTACATTTTGACTTCTAAGATATTATTATATTGTACTACATTTTGACATTTTTTTATAATATACGTTATGTAATTAAATTTTGGCCCCACCTGAACGTAAATGCTAGATCCGTCCCTGTCTCCCCTTCCTTTCAAACTCCCAAACATACCCTAAGTTACGTATGAAAAATATAATTCAACTTAAGTATTGCTTAAAAATGATGTACTCTTTTATTATGTATTTAGCGGAGTTTCAACCCCTGAATCGTTTTTCTCGCTCTACCACCTCTATTTTCCTAACCCCAATCAGCTAAATAAATATTAAAACAGAACGACATAGCTGAATCATTTCGATGCTCACATGTAATTTAACCACATCATTGTAGAACTTTTCAAGAGATCGCTCCCCAGATATATCCTTCCTGTAATGGAAAAAGTAGCTAGCTAGGTCATCATAACAATGATTATTATTATACCTACTAACTTAAAGTGAAAACATATTGACACAAATTAATGTCACAAACACATATAGAGTCTCGTTCTATTGAGTAAATACATAGACCCGGGTCGGTCCGATCCCAGTTCCGGGTCGAGAGCGTCCCATCCTTGTCAAATGGTAGTAAAGCTCGGGCCTGACCCGTTTATTTAAGGTTTTGGACCGGTTCTTGGAACCCCGTTAGCCCAGGTACCGGTTCCCGGACCCGGTTGGCCCGAGTACAAATTCTGATCCTATTAACTTGTAATTATAATTGGTCTGAATTAATTGGGATTGCTCAATTTAGAGATGACAATGGGGCGGATCGGGGACGGTTTTACATATAACCGTACTTGCACCGTTGGGTAATTCCCCCGCCCCATAACCGCCCCCATTACCTAACGGGTAATTTTTACCCAAATCATAACCGCCCCAACGGATAACGGGTATAACCGCGCGTAACCACGGGTAATCGGTTTATTATCTGAGTCATTATTATTTTAATATATAAATAAATTCTAAAAGGTGAAACATGGCATCACCTAGACGACTCTACTCATGATACGTCACTTAAGTTTTGTATATCTACAAGACAAGAAAGAAGACAACCTAAATTAGTTTGAACCTAAAAATACTTAACATAAAAATCATTAATCACGAAAAAATCTGATAATAATCAAATAAGACTATTAAGATCTGTTATAAACTTTCATTCATACAATCATACACAATAGTAAGTCATCTATTATCCATATATACACAATGAAAACAGAAAATTCTTATTTTTTAGTAGTTGTGGGACAAATAATAGATAAAAATGTAATAAAAATATAGTCAAAAATAAACGGGACGGGTATGGGGCGGGCATGTATAAAACCGTAATCGCCTCGTTACCCGTAAAATTAAAACGAGTATTCCCCACCCCATACCCATTACCCAGTCAATGCGGTTTTTCCATTTTGACCGGGACGGTTCGGTGCGGGTATCCATCGGATCGGTCACAATTGCCATCTCTAGCTCAATAGTATGGAATTCCAATAGGACCAATTTTAACTGAGATCGGGATCGCTCTCTTCGATCCCACAACAAGACCCAAGACCGGGTACCCAAACCTACCAGACAGGTCCGATCTTAAGTCCAGGTACGGAAAAGTTGACCCAGTCCGATCTGAGTTCGATTCAAATAGTATAGGACCCGATTCGGGATCAGGCTGAACCCCCGTAATGTATCCATACCTAATTGAGAACTATAATTTGGGTGAGAAATGAGAATGATGTTAAATTGTGTAAAGTTTGGTTGGAATCAAGGCAATTCATAGTTCAAATTGATAGGAAAAAAGTCAATTCACTTCCAAAAATACCATCGCACTTTCTGATGCATGGTAAAAACATAGGATAAACCTAGGATAACAAGTTAGCTTTATGTTAAAAGTGAAAGTAGATTCTATGGTACTCTGGGTACCGGAGTTGTCACCAAAAGTGAATTAGATTGTTATTCTATAACTTATAGATAGTAAATATCAAAGTAAAACTTCTAGCTATTGGCGTACAAGTATACAAATAAGAACACCTTTATTTTCTAAAGCAAATAGGATACAATTCAAACTTCTAAACAAATAATAATAATACTACCCGTAAATAGGATACAATTCAAACTTCTATGCAAATAGGAGTAATTGTTTTCCTAAGATTGAATTGTTCATATTTTTCAACTAAAAAAAACTATGGATCATATTTGAAAAAAGATGTGACTAGGAAATAGGAATACAGAATATTAGGTATGTTTAGTTAAATTTACAAAATTTTAACTTCTCTAGACTCTAGTAGTAGTTCCTGCCAAGCCAAGACTGAAATCTTACACATTAATAAAGAAACCTGCATCTGAGAAGCATTTTACTCGAGCCTCCCTTGGAAATAATTTTCTGAATTTGTCGCAATGCAGAATTGATGCCAATCCTCCAGCTGAGCATCCAGACAGAATTGCCTACGTAACAAAGGCATGCATGCATGCAATATTAATTAGTGGATTCATTTCTTAGCCGCCCCTTCATGAATGCACTATTTTTAATTCAAATAAAATAGCATTAAATCATATAATACTTTTTTAATACATACTTTGCCTGAAATGGATTTACCCCGCAGTAGTTTGAAATGAAAAGCAAAACGAAATGATAGTATTAGAAAATCTCCTCGATCAATTTTATTGTTCTTTTATTTGAACTATTTTGTAAATATATACCATATATATAAGTGCTCTCATTTTAGAACATGCTCTATGTTTCATTTCTAATGAATTTGCACAATTTTTTACATCGGAGGTCGATTCATATATGCATATATAGATACATCAATAACAATTATTAGATTCAGAATAAAAATAAATAAATAAATAAAAATTACATTTTCGGCTTTGTCCATCCCATTCGCTAACAAGTCTTCCATTATAGCCCGGAAAATCCTAGCTCCTCGGAAATGAAGATTGGTCTCCTGGAAAATGAGGATATGCATGTACAAACACTATCAATGCTTGAATTAATAAAATATATAAATGTTATGTAATGATAAATAGCATAAGTAAATGAGGAAGTACTCTTCCCTCAATAAAATAAATTTTAAGGAGCCAAGATTGAATATTTGGATATACATGAGGAAATATATCATGAAATGAACTATATATGATGATTAATCATTGGAGAAAAAAATATTACAAAGATACAATTTGACTAACAATACTAATTTAACCTGATATTTCCCAAGAGATTAAAAATACATGTGGATAAATACCAGAACTGATATTTGGCAAGTTCAAAAAGTCATCTGGAACAAGGCCCACCAAAATCTGGGCCCCCAGGTTTTATTACTATTTGTATTATAATATAGTTATATTGTATAATATGAATATGTACAAGTGGAGTAGTAGTTATTTTAAATTATGTCTCTTTTCTATATGAACGGTTGAACACAATTACTAATATAATATTGTACATGGAGTCTCAATTTTGCATTTGGAATCGGAACCTCCAAATTCATACTAGTATATTATAATAAATACGAATGCTAAGTTTCGTGAAATGTAGTGAAATATAGTGAAAGTTTTATCGTCATATTATCTCATCATCAGTCATTTATTATGATGACATAATTATACCTATTTAAGAAAGAATAAAATGTTCGTATTTAAGAAATACACTATTTTTATTCATAAATAGGCCAATTTCATTAATTTAACCAATGCGAATAAAATAACATTACATAGCTAGAGCCATAAATGGAGTATTAGCTAGTTTTATTTACCCGATCTACAAACTGGGCGTTCCCGGTAAAAGACGCACCATCGCAATATCTAACTTTCACTTTGTTCCAGTTGAAAAAATCTACAAGTAGCAAACAATACCAATGAAAAGTTAAATATAATGATAATATTTAATACCAGTAATTTATAATGTAATAATAGTCATATAGTTATAATAATATAATCAAGGAATTTAAGTGAATTGTTCACGACCATAATGATGCATGTTTCGCATATTACTGGTAGTAATTAATTATAACCTGGGTTAAAATGAGGGTTGTTGTGTAAAATCCCTGAAAAAGCTAGAGTTAAATTCATATGTTTGGAGGATCCTAAACGGGTTCTCTTTCGAAGCATGCAAGTTGTAACGTTTTCGCACCATCCTCCCCCCTGTATAAAAGAAATGCAACAATTTGTGTTAGAGAAGCCTATATAGTGTGTTGGACTGTCCCACCAACTCCATCTAAATTAAATAATGAAAAATCCAATTCATTGCCTTGTTTTAGTGACAACTAAATTTGAGTTTTGTTTGCGATTTTATACTTTCAAACATGTTAATTTTATTTATTAAAAAAAACTATTTACGGACAGAGATCGGTTACTTTATAGTTAATCAAACATCGTAAATCGTGTGAGAATTTTTCTACCGGACAGAGGAATAACATAACTTGTTTTCTGTTTAGAATTTCTAAGAGATCACATCATGCTCCTTTACTTTTCTATTTTAAAATAAAAACGCTGGAGATAAACGGGTGGGGTGTTTGGTAAATGGTGTTTCGGCTGGAAAATGGTGGTTTGATCACTTTCGGCATTTTCAAAAAATGAAAAAGATGTTTGGTAAATAGTTGTTCGGTACTGGTGTTTTTGGATAGAAATGCTGAAATGGAAACGCTGCAAATAGGAGCGTTTCAAGTTAGTGTTTTGAAATATGACGTTTTCTGCTAATTTTATGGTCAAACAACTACATTACTAAACATTTTCTGACAACCTGCCAACTTTTTCTGCTAGTCTAACCTGCTGATTGAATCCGCTATTGACAACCCGCTAACATTATCCGCTATCCGCTAACCGCTAACCAGTAAATGTCAAACACAACCAAAGTAAAAACAAAACCAACCTCTAATTGAATTAGCCAATTGTTGATGCCACTACCGGAGCCTCTATGAAGATGATATGCTGGTGGGCTCCCATCCAAACAAACTGCTAGCAAATAAAAATGAGAGAATTTGACTTTGCACCCGATGTTTTGGGTGATATTTGATATTGCACTCTATTTTTAAAAGCATTAATGTATGCAATCCAATTCACTATAGAATCATTTGACTTTTCGCACCACTCCTTCACAATTTTTGGGCTAATGGGGTGCATACATTAATGCATTTAAAAATGGGGTGTAAAGTCAAATATCATCCAAAACATGAAGTGCAAACTCGAATTCTCCCAATAAAAATATATATAGTGTGCAACTTTAATTCATACTTCTCACAAAAACTATATTTAAAAATCAGGATAGTTTCTGATTTATAAAAAAAAATCATCTTTTTTATGACACTTTCTAGGAAAATCCCTTAGTTATCCCACTTCATCAATGGTAAAATAAAATAAAATGTTTTAATTACCTGCTCCTTTTTTCACCGCACTTTCTAGAATGGTAATGTCAACAAAGAGATCTTCCTGCGCATTGACCAGGACCAGTGATAAGGCAATTACACAGAACCCCCATAGTTGTTGCTGCATTCTTCCTCTCACCACTAATCAACATAAGATACACACTTATCACTTCAAAAAGATTTCATATATACATAAACATGATGAACATAAAATTTTAATGATTTTAACACAAGGGATGTGCTTCAATGATTTTATTGATTGAAAATGGCAACACAATGAACATATGAGCTTTGATTATACGGATTTTCCGTTTGTGTGATTCTTTGATGGCCTATAATTTCTGAGTATATTCATTAGTTAATTCTTTTTATTTTCCTATACTCTGTATATTGTTGTGCTATAAGCTACTGTTGGTATTGGCCCGGTAGTTCTATAAGCCCAATTGCACTTAAGGAGGTTCCAGCCCATTATCAAAGGCTTTAGCCGGCCCTGTTTTCTGATCTCTGCGAACTGCTTTGGCTCCTTCTTACCGATGCCTTCCATCTTTGCGCCATTCACTGCGTATCTTCTTCCTAAGGCAAGTTTCCATGTATGGCATCCGATCTTGGCCTATTTATTCCATACCTTGTCTTCGATTCTGGATAAGCCGAAACCCTTGTATCTCTGTTCAGCCTCTCTGTGGGTGCTCCGTTCGAACTGGCCGGAAATAGCCGCTGGCCGACGCCCCTCTCTCCCCTTGTTGACCCTAGAGTGTGAAATTCATCCTTTGTGGATGAAAGGGACCGAGACCTGAGCTGGATTCGAGTTCTAACAGTGGTATCAGAGCCGGGAGAGGTCTGCCGCCGCCACGCCTGCCGCCGGTTCGTCGCCCTCCGGTGCTGTCCAGAAGTCCAGAGAGGTCTGCCGCCGTCTGCCAGGAGCCTGCCAGCCCTGTCCGCTGCCAGTCCTGACCTGCTGCCGCCAGTCTAGGAGCTGTGCCGCCAGTCCAGTCCGCTGCCGCCACGCCCTACAGCAGCCCACGCTGCCTACGGTAAGTCGGGTCACCCAACCTCGGGCCCCGCTCAGGTAAATTGGCTTGAACACCCTTGGTGTACCGGAGTGCCACCGGATTTATTTGTTCCCCGCTCCCCGCTGCTGACCTGCGTGGTCTAGGATGCCGGCTGTGTCCGGCCCCAGGTACGTTTACTAATCCTTTGTGTGATTTTTATTCGTAGTTCATTCATTTTTTAAATTTCAAGTTGAATTACAATTTCATGTTTGTTTAAATTGTGATTACTTGTTGGTTTGTGATTAATTTTTTCCGGTGAAGAATATTTTTGTTTGGATACTCATTGTCCAAAATTGTGAATATTTCTTCCGGTTTAAATTTAATCACATGTTGGATTTTTTATTTTGATTTTTCTGTTGATTGATTCGTGGATAAACTCTCCGGTTAAGAATATTTGTTTGGATACTTGTTGTCCGAAGTTGGAAATATTTCTGTCCGGATTAGTTTTAAATCCCGTCTCTTTGTTTGTTGTTTTAATTCTAGCCTATTTGCGCTTGTACGAAAGAACAAGGAGATTGTACCCGAGCCTTGTGTTCATTGGTCTTCTCGGCTTGTTCGTGCTAGTTGCTTCGTACAATTGATAGCCCTATAGGTTATAATTAATCATTTATCTGTCTGTTGAGTAAATAAAATTTTTTATCTGTGCTTGTACGAAAGAACAAGGAGATTGTACCCGAGCCTTGTGTTCATTGGTCTTCTCGGCTTGTTCGTGCTAGTTGCTTCGTACCGGTTGATAGCCTGATAAATTTTTTATTTACTCTCTTGCGTGTTGTGCTTGCTTTCCTGTTAATATGGCTGTCAATCAATATGGCATGCTTCCATTTAACGGAAAGACAGATTTTGATATCTGGAAACAGAAAATCAAATGTGTGTTGATCCAACAGAAAGTCTATAGAGCCGTGACCGGTCTCTATTTAGACTCTGAGGATGCTGCTAAGCGTGTTGAGATGAATGAAACTGCTTGTTCCTCTATTTACCTAAACCTTTCTGATTCAGTGCTCAGGAAGGTGGGTATTATAGATTCCGCAAAAGAGTTGTGGGACAAGTTAGATAAGTTGTATACCGATACTTCTTTGCCTGGTAAATTGTTTTTGCTTGAGAAGTTCTTTAGGTTTAGGCTTGACCTGACCAAAGACATAGATGAGAACCTAGATGTGTTTAACAAGCTTATTCAGAACATTAAGCAAGCCGGTGATAAACACATAGATGACTACACACCCATAGTGTTACTTAATGCCATCCCTGACTCTTACAATGACGTCAAATCTGCCATAAAGTATGGTAGAGACGATATCTCGTTAGATATAGTCGTTAATGGATTAAGGAGTAAGGAGTTAGACCTTAGACACTCGAGGGGTAGTAACAGTCAATCTAAGGATTCTGGTGAAGCGTTGCTTGTGAGGGGTAGGTCTAAGAGTAGATCTAGAAACCATAAGAAGGGTAGCAACAATAAGAACCAGACCAATAACAATGACCCGGGGAAGAAGAGAGGTAAGTCTAAGAAGAGAGTGTGCTATAATTGTGGGAATTCTAGTCACTTCATTAAGGATTGTCCCCATCCTAAGAAGTCTGAACATGCTAATGTGGTAGATGATAATAACTTGCATGAAGAAGTTTTTATGGTCTGTGATTCTGCAAATTCTGTGTTGAGTAGCATGACTGAAAATGAGTGGTTGATTGACTCTGGTTGTACTTATCATATGACACCTTTTAGATCTCTGTTTGCTTCTTATGATTCTTGCAATGATGGTTTTGTGTCTCTTGCTGATAATAAGAAATGCAAAATACATGGGGTGGGTGATGTATGCTTAAAGTTTGATAATGGGACTGTGTTTACTATGAAAAATGTGAGGCATGTCCCTGATTTGCGTCATAACTTGTTTTTTGTCGCTGCTTTTGAGGGTAGTGGGCTTGAGGGTAAATGGGGAAATGGGTGCATGAAAGTTTTGAAAAATTCCCTTGTTTTGTTTAAGGCAAAAAAGGTGAATAATTTGTATGTGTGCCATGCTCAGCCTTTCTGTGATTCTGCTCATGTTGTTAGTTCTGATAAAACTGCTTTGTGGCATAATAGATTAGGACACATGAGTAATAAGGGTTTAGAGATTTTGCATAAATCTGGTTGTTTTGGTAAGGATTCTGTGTCCTCCATCCCTTTCTGTGAATCCTGTGTGTTAGGCAAGCAGCATAAGGTTACTTTCCCCTCTTCCCCTTATCCTAATCCCACTAAGTGTACCTCTGTGCTAGAGTATGTTCATGCAGATGTGTGGGGTCCTGCTAGTGTCTCTACCCACGGGGGTAAGAGATATTTTCTGTCCATTATCGATGATTTCTCTAGGAAGGTGTGGGTCCGTCTTCTTGAGCATAAGTCCGATGTCTTTATGAAATTTAGGGAGTGGAAAACCCTTGTAGAAAATCAAACCGGTAAGATGGTCAAAACCCTTAGGACCGATAATGGATTAGAGTTTTGCAATAAGGATATGGACCAGCTCTGTGTTGATTGTGGGATTAGAAGGCACAAAACTGTGCCCTATACTCCCCAACAAAATGGGATAGCCGAGAGAATGAATAGGACTGTTCTAGATAAGGTTAGGAGTATGCTTGCCACCTCCGGTTTGTCTAAAAAGTTTTGGGGTGAAGCAGTCAATACTGCTGTCTACTTGATTAACCGGTCTCCTTCTGTTCCCTTGGGTGGGAAATGCCCTGAATCTGTTTTTTCAAACAAGCCCCTTGATTTGTCTAATCTTAGAGTGTTTGGGTGTGCTGCGTATGTGCACCAACAAGGTGACAAATTGGATCCTAGGTCTAAGAAAGGAGTCTTCTTAGGTTATCCTGAGGGTGTGAAGGGGTACAGGGTTTGGGATAGGAACCAGGTAGGTTTCAAGGTTGTGGTAAGTAGAAACGTTGTTTTCAATGAATCCGAGTTCCCTTGTCTGGTTAAGTCAGTTCCTGATTCTGAGTCGAGCCCTAGTAGTACACCTGTTGAGGTGGAGTCCATACCATATGCTGCTAGTCCTTTGTTTGCTAATCATGATTCTTCTAATTTGCATGATTCTTCTGAATTGCATGATTCTTCTGAGCATGATAATACCACCACTTCGAGTGAGGTGGAGTATTCTCATGTGCATTCAAATGACAATGAATCGCATGATGAGAGTGCTGATCCTAGTGATAATGTTTTGCATGATTACCAACTTGTTCGAGATAGAAGTAGGAGAGAAATTAGGAGAACTGCTGATAGCATGCCTGATTTTGCTTTCCATGCGTGTGATACTTCTATGTTTGCTTTCTCTGTATTTGAGACCCTTGAGCTTAACGAACCTAAAACCTATAGGGAGGCCCTTAAGTCTAATGAGTCCGCTAAATGGCTTTGCGCCATAGAGAGTGAGATAGAGTCTCTTAGAGCGAATAAGACTTGGACGTTAGTTCCTAGACCGCACAATAGTTCCGTAGTTGAGTGTAAGTGGCTATTTAAGGTTAAGGAAGAGCCTAACGACATTAGATATAAGGCTAGGTTAGTTGCTAAGGGATTTACTCAAAAGGAAGGTGTTGATTATGCTGAAATCTTTGCTCCTGTTGTTAAATTCACTACGATTAGAACTATGCTTGCTCTTGTTGCTCATCATGATTGGGAAATGAAGCAAATGGACGTCACCACTGCTTTCTTACATGGTGATTTGGACAAGAAAATCTATATGACCCAGCCTGAGGGCTTTGTGGATCCCATAAAGAGTAATTATGTGTGTTTGCTTAGGAAGGCCTTGTACGGCCTGAAGCAGTCCCCGAGGCAGTGGAATATCAAATTTGACCAGTGCATGTCATCTTTGAAATTTCACAAGTCCGAGTGCGACCATTGCCTATACTTTAAAGATACGTCTTCTGTGCCTGTATTTTTATTGCTTTATGTGGATGACATGTTGATTGTTAGTCCTTCGGGTGACGCCATTAAAGGTGTGCAAAAGCGTCTCAGTGAGAACTTTGCAATGAAAGACCTAGGTGATGCCAAGAGGATCCTAGGCATTAACATTGTTAGGGATAGGAGTAAGCGTGTGTTAGTACTCAATCAGATTTCATACATTGAAAAGATTTTGAGTAAATATAACATGCATTCTGCTACTACCGTCTCTATCCCTATGGCGTCCCACTTTGTGTTAAGTAAGGATCAGTCTCCCAAGACTGCTCCTGAAATTGCTAAAATGAAATCTGTGCCTTATTCCAATGCTATTGGGTCCGTGATGTACCTCATGGTGAGTACTAGACCCGACATTGCCTATGCTGTTAGTTGTTTGAGTAGGTATATGTCTAATCCTGGTTTGCCTCATTGGAATGCTCTTAAGTGGTTGCTTAGGTACTTGAAATCTACTGTTAATCATGGGTTGGTTTTCACTATGTGTTCTGAGGGTGTTAAGTTGAGCGGGTATGTGGATTCAAATTTTGCTAACGATAAAGACAATAGGAAATCCACTACCTCTTATGTGTTTACCCTTTGCGGGTCTTGCATTAGTTGGAAGTCTCAACTTCAACCCATTGTTGCCCTTTCCACTACTGAGTCCGAGTATGTGGCCGCTACCGAAGCTTTTAAGGAAGCCATTTGGCTTAAGCGTCTCCTAAAGGAGATTGGTAGTCTTAATCAGGACATTTGTGTGTTTTCTGATAGTCAATCTGCTATTCAACTGTGCAAAAATCCTGTTTTTCATGATAGAACTAAGCATATTGATGTTAGATTTCATTTTATACGTGATATTGTTAGTGCAGGTGATATCAAGTTGATTAAAATTCCGTCTGAATTTAATCCTGCTGACATGGGGACTAAATGTCTCTCTGTCGAAAAGTTGTTGTCGTGCAAGCGCACGTTAAACATTGATTGCGGTTAAGTTGCCTGGTGATCTTACCCCTTTGCCTGAATATGTCTTTGTGATTATTCGGGCAATCCAGCGATGATGAGTCTCAAATTTGTGTTAGAGCGTTTGACTCTAAACCACTAAGGTCCAATAAGGTGGAGAATGTGTTGGTATTGGCCCGGTAGTTCTATAAGTCCAATTGCACTTAAGGAGGTTCCAGCCCATTATCAAAGGCTTTAGCCGGCCCTGTTTTCTGATCTCTGCGAACTGCTTTGGCTCCTTCTTACCGATGCCTTCCATCTTTGCGCCATTCACTGCGTATCTTCTTCCTAAGGCAAGTTTCCATGTATGGCATCCGATCTTGGCCTATTTATTCCATACCTTGTCTTCGATTCTGGATAAGCCGAAACCCTTGTATCTCTGTTCAGCCTCTCTGTGGGTGCTCCGTTCGAACTGGCCGGAAATAGCCGCTGGCCGACGCCCCTCTCTCCCCTTGTTGACCCTAGAGTGTGAAATTCATCCTTTGTGGATGAAAGGGACCGAGACCTGAGCTGGATTCGAGTTCTAACAGTGGTATCAGAGCCGGGAGAGGTCTGCCGCCGCCACGCCGCCGCCGCGCCGCCGCCTGCCGCCGGTTCGTCGCCCTCCGGTGCTGTCCAGAAGTCCAGAGAGGTCTGCCGCCGTCTGCCAGGAGCCTGCCAGCCCTGTCCGCTGCCAGTCCTGACCTGCTGCCGCCAGTCTAGGAGTTGTGCCGCCAGTCCAGTCCGCTGCCGCCACGCCCTACAGCAGCCCACGCTGCCTACGGTAAGTCGGGTCACCCAACCTCGGGCCCCGCTCAGGTAAATTGGCTTGAACACCCTTGGTGTACCGGAGTGCCACCGGATTTATTTGTTCCCCGCTCCCCGCTGCTGACCTGCGTGGTCTAGGATGCCGGCTGTGTCCGGCCCCAGGTACGTTTACTAATCCTTTGTGTGATTTTTATTCGTAGTTCATTCATTTTTTAAATTTCAAGTTGAATTACAATTTCATGTTTGTTTAAATTGTGATTACTTGTTGGTTTGTGATTAATTTTTTCCGGTGAAGAATATTTTTGTTTGGATACTCATTGTCCAAAATTGTGAATATTTCTTCCGGTTTAAATTTAATCACATGTTGGATTTTTTATTTTGATTTTTCTGTTGATTGATTCGTGGATAAACTCTCCGGTTAAGAATATTTGTTTGGATACTTGTTGTCCGAAGTTGGAAATATTTCTGTCCGGATTAGTTTTAAATCCCGTCTCTTTGTTTGTTGTTTTAATTCTAGCCTATTTGCGCTTGTACGAAAGAACAAGGAGATTGTACCCGAGCCTTGTGTTCATTGGTCTTCTCGGCTTGTTCGTGCTAGTTGCTTCGTACAATTGATAGCCCTATAGGTTATAATTAATCATTTATCTGTCTGTTGAGTAAATAAAATTTTTTATCTGTGCTTGTACGAAAGAACAAGGAGATTGTACCCGAGCCTTGTGTTCATTGGTCTTCTCGGCTTGTTCGTGCTAGTTGCTTCGTACCGGTTGATAGCCTGATAAATTTTTTATTTACTCTCTTGCGTGTTGTGCTTGCTTTCCTGTTAATATGGCTGTCAATCAATATGGCATGCTTCCATTTAACGGAAAGACAGATTTTGATATCTGGAAACAGAAAATCAAATGTGTGTTGATCCAACAGAAAGTCTATAGAGCCGTGACCGGTCTCTATTTAGACTCTGAGGATGCTGCTAAGCGTGTTGAGATGAATGAAACTGCTTGTTCCTCTATTTACCTAAACCTTTCTGATTCAGTGCTCAGGAAGGTGGGTATTATAGATTCCGCAAAAGAGTTGTGGGACAAGTTAGATAAGTTGTATACCGATACTTCTTTGCCTGGTAAATTGTTTTTGCTTGAGAAGTTCTTTAGGTTTAGGCTTGACCTGACCAAAGACATAGATGAGAACCTAGATGTGTTTAACAAGCTTATTCAGAACATTAAGCAAGCCGGTGATAAACACATAGATGACTACACACCCATAGTGTTACTTAATGCCATCCCTGACTCTTACAATGACGTCAAATCTGCCATAAAGTATGGTAGAGACGATATCTCGTTAGATATAGTCGTTAATGGATTAAGGAGTAAGGAGTTAGACCTTAGACACTCGAGGGGTAGTAACAGTCAATCTAAGGATTCTGGTGAAGCGTTGCTTGTGAGGGGTAGGTCTAAGAGTAGATCTAGAAACCATAAGAAGGGTAGCAACAATAAGAACCAGACCAATAACAATGACCCGGGGAAGAAGAGAGGTAAGTCTAAGAAGAGAGTGTGCTATAATTGTGGGAATTCTAGTCACTTCATTAAGGATTGTCCCCATCCTAAGAAGTCTGAACATGCTAATGTGGTAGATGATAATAACTTGCATGAAGAAGTTTTTATGGTCTGTGATTCTGCAAATTCTGTGTTGAGTAGCATGACTGAAAATGAGTGGTTGATTGACTCTGGTTGTACTTATCATATGACACCTTTTAGATCTCTGTTTGCTTCTTATGATTCTTGCAATGATGGTTTTGTGTCTCTTGCTGATAATAAGAAATGCAAAATACATGGGGTGGGTGATGTATGCTTAAAGTTTGATAATGGGACTGTGTTTACTATGAAAAATGTGAGGCATGTCCCTGATTTGCGTCATAACTTGTTTTTTGTCGCTGCTTTTGAGGGTAGTGGGCTTGAGGGTAAATGGGGAAATGGGTGCATGAAAGTTTTGAAAAATTCCCTTGTTTTGTTTAAGGCAAAAAAGGTGAATAATTTGTATGTGTGCCATGCTCAGCCTTTCTGTGATTCTGCTCATGTTGTTAGTTCTGATAAAACTGCTTTGTGGCATAATAGATTAGGACACATGAGTAATAAGGGTTTAGAGATTTTGCATAAATCTGGTTGTTTTGGTAAGGATTCTGTGTCCTCCATCCCTTTCTGTGAATCCTGTGTGTTAGGCAAGCAGCATAAGGTTACTTTCCCCTCTTCCCCTTATCCTAATCCCACTAAGTGTACCTCTGTGCTAGAGTATGTTCATGCAGATGTGTGGGGTCCTGCTAGTGTCTCTACCCACGGGGGTAAGAGATATTTTCTGTCCATTATCGATGATTTCTCTAGGAAGGTGTGGGTCCGTCTTCTTGAGCATAAGTCCGATGTCTTTATGAAATTTAGGGAGTGGAAAACCCTTGTAGAAAATCAAACCGGTAAGATGGTCAAAACCCTTAGGACCGATAATGGATTAGAGTTTTGCAATAAGGATATGGACCAGCTCTGTGTTGATTGTGGGATTAGAAGGCACAAAACTGTGCCCTATACTCCCCAACAAAATGGGATAGCCGAGAGAATGAATAGGACTGTTCTAGATAAGGTTAGGAGTATGCTTGCCACCTCCGGTTTGTCTAAAAAGTTTTGGGGTGAAGCAGTCAATACTGCTGTCTACTTGATTAACCGGTCTCCTTCTGTTCCCTTGGGTGGGAAATGCCCTGAATCTGTTTTTTCAAACAAGCCCCTTGATTTGTCTAATCTTAGAGTGTTTGGGTGTGCTGCGTATGTGCACCAACAAGGTGACAAATTGGATCCTAGGTCTAAGAAAGGAGTCTTCTTAGGTTATCCTGAGGGTGTGAAGGGGTACAGGGTTTGGGATAGGAACCAGGTAGGTTTCAAGGTTGTGGTAAGTAGAAACGTTGTTTTCAATGAATCCGAGTTCCCTTGTCTGGTTAAGTCAGTTCCTGATTCTGAGTCGAGCCCTAGTAGTACACCTGTTGAGGTGGAGTCCATACCATATGCTGCTAGTCCTTTGTTTGCTAATCATGATTCTTCTAATTTGCATGATTCTTCTGAATTGCATGATTCTTCTGAGCATGATAATACCACCACTTCGAGTGAGGTGGAGTATTCTCATGTGCATTCAAATGACAATGAATCGCATGATGAGAGTGCTGATCCTAGTGATAATGTTTTGCATGATTACCAACTTGTTCGAGATAGAAGTAGGAGAGAAATTAGGAGAACTGCTGATAGCATGCCTGATTTTGCTTTCCATGCGTGTGATACTTCTATGTTTGCTTTCTCTGTATTTGAGACCCTTGAGCTTAACGAACCTAAAACCTATAGGGAGGCCCTTAAGTCTAATGAGTCCGCTAAATGGCTTTGCGCCATAGAGAGTGAGATAGAGTCTCTTAGAGCGAATAAGACTTGGACGTTAGTTCCTAGACCGCACAATAGTTCCGTAGTTGAGTGTAAGTGGCTATTTAAGGTTAAGGAAGAGCCTAACGACATTAGATATAAGGCTAGGTTAGTTGCTAAGGGATTTACTCAAAAGGAAGGTGTTGATTATGCTGAAATCTTTGCTCCTGTTGTTAAATTCACTACGATTAGAACTATGCTTGCTCTTGTTGCTCATCATGATTGGGAAATGAAGCAAATGGACGTCACCACTGCTTTCTTACATGGTGATTTGGACAAGAAAATCTATATGACCCAGCCTGAGGGCTTTGTGGATCCCATAAAGAGTAATTATGTGTGTTTGCTTAGGAAGGCCTTGTACGGCCTGAAGCAGTCCCCGAGGCAGTGGAATATCAAATTTGACCAGTGCATGTCATCTTTGAAATTTCACAAGTCCGAGTGCGACCATTGCCTATACTTTAAAGATACGTCTTATGTGCCTGTATTTTTATTGCTTTATGTGGATGACATGTTGATTGTTAGTCCTTCGGGTGACGCCATTAAAGGTGTGCAAAAGCGTCTCAGTGAGAACTTTGCAATGAAAGACCTAGGTGATGCCAAGAGGATCCTAGGCATTAACATTGTTAGGGATAGGAGTAAGCGTGTGTTAGTACTCAATCAGATTTCATACATTGAAAAGATTTTGAGTAAATATAACATGCATTCTGCTACTACCGTCTCTATCCCTATGGCGTCCCACTTTGTGTTAAGTAAGGATCAGTCTCCCAAGACTGCTCCTGAAATTGCTAAAATGAAATCTGTGCCTTATTCCAATGCTATTGGGTCCGTGATGTACCTCATGGTGAGTACTAGACCCGACATTGCCTATGCTGTTAGTTGTTTGAGTAGGTATATGTCTAATCCTGGTTTGCCTCATTGGAATGCTCTTAAGTGGTTGCTTAGGTACTTGAAATCTACTGTTAATCATGGGTTGGTTTTCACTATGTGTTCTGAGGGTGTTAAGTTGAGCGGGTATGTGGATTCAAATTTTGCTAACGATAAAGACAAAAGGAAATCCACTACCTCTTATGTGTTTACCCTTTGCGGGTCTTGCATTAGTTGGAAGTCTCAACTTCAACCCATTGTTGCCCTTTCCACTACTGAGTCCGAGTATGTGGCCGCTACCGAAGCTTTTAAGGAAGCCATTTGGCTTAAGCGTCTCCTAAAGGAGATTGGTAGTCTTAATCAGGACATTTGTGTGTTTTCTGATAGTCAATCTGCTATTCAACTGTGCAAAAATCCTGTTTTTCATGATAGAACTAAGCATATTGATGTTAGATTTCATTTTATACGTGATATTGTTAGTGCAGGTGATATCAAGTTGATTAAAATTCCGTCTGAATTTAATCCTGCTGACATGGGGACTAAATGTCTCTCTGTCGAAAAGTTGTTGTCGTGCAAGCGCACGTTAAACATTGATTGCGGTTAAGTTGCCTGGTGATCTTACCCCTTTGCCTGAATATGTCTTTGTGATTATTCGGGCAATCCAGCGATGATGAGTCTCAAATTTGTGTTAGAGCGTTTGACTCTAAACCACTAAGGTCCAATAAGGTGGAGAATGTGTTGGTATTGGCTCGGTAGTTCTATAAGCCCAATTGCACTTAAAGAGGTTCCAGCCCATTATCAAAGGCTTTAGCCGGCCCTGTTTTCTGATCTCTGCGAACTGCTTTGGCTCCTTCTTACCGATGCCTTCCATCTTTGCACCATTCACTGCGTATCTTCTTCCTAAGGCAAGTTTCCATGTATGGCATCCGATCTTGGCCTATTTATTCCATACCTTGTCTTCGATTCTGGATAAGCCGAAACCCTTGTATCTCTGTTCAGCCTCTCTGTGGGTGCTCCGTTCGAACTGGCCGGAAATAGCCGCTGGCCGACGCCCCTCTCTCCCCTTGTTGACCCTAGAGTGTGAAATTCATCCTTTGTGGATGAAAGGGACCGAGACCTGAGCTGGATTCGAGTTCTAACAGCTACTATAAGTAGGGCCAAAAATCTATTTACCAAACAACATTTTCATTTATGAAATATGTTAAATAGGGTTAAATAATTACTATTTTTGCTGAAATGTCATTTTCCAAACACCCTCATTCTCTTATTTTAAAAGTGCTTCAGTTTTTGTTCAATTAAAATGCAGGAAATCTTATTATTAGTCAATTTCTCTTAAATAACTATTACTCCCTTTATGTCGTTAAAATTGTCTCATATTTCCTTTTTTATCCGTTCTAGTATGATTGTCCAATATCAAATTTGGTAAATATGTGTGACTCTAAATCACTCTTGTTTTATTCTTACTTTCTCGATCAATATAATATTAGAAATTTCCCAATATAGGAGTAAATATAAACATAATTGCACAAATAGGAGTAAAACTTAAAACTTCCTTCAATAGGAGTAAACATTAATTTTGTACCCTTAATATCCCTAACCTAGTTAATTCCAAAATATGACTTATTTAATCATAACCTAGTTAATTTATGACTTATTCGATAATAATTTATTTATTTATTTATTTTTCAAAAAAAAATATAATTTTTTTAAAATAAATATAAAAAACTCAAAAAAATAAAATAAAATTCAACGCCGCCTCTGCCGCCTCTGCACCACCACCACCAGTCACCAGAGGAAAAAATGTCAAGTTCATTACGAATACCATATTTATGGCAGAAAACAATGAAAATGTTGGCATTCGCAAAGAGAAATATGTCATGTTTTTGGCATTTTCAGAAAAAGACAGTTTTTAGGGAAAATGAGATTTTTTTTCACCGCCCGGAGGTGGTGGTGCAGGGAGGTAGCACAGGCGGTGGGAAAGGCATCCATATTTTTTTTAATTTTTTTTATGGAGTTTTACTATTGTTATTAATTTTTAAAAAAAAAATTAAAAAATTAAAGAAATACTTTTTAAAAAAAATTATTTTATTAATATTTTATAAACTTTTTAATTATTTTTCTACGGTTTTTTGAATTTTTTTCGAATTTATTATGAATTAAACATTTAATTAAAAGTTGTTGGGGCTTGGGTAGGGGTATAGTTGTCCAAACACTAAATTTACTCCTATTCAAAACATTGTACTCCTATTTTTACATTTTTCCTATGTTTTGCTCCTATTTGGGGAATTCTCTCATTTAATATCAACTAAACTGCATAAACGCATTTTACGATAACTGCATCACTTATTCATGTCTCAATGTTAGGTAGTACTTAATAAAGGTGATTAGAGGTTCAATAAGTTATAATTAGCAGGTTCTTACTCCGCCATATTTATATTAATTAGCAGTTACTTTCCGTTTTATAATCCTTAACTAAAATAGGGAATTAGGGATCATTAAGTTAATAAAAATACAATTGGTTCATTATTAAGTGACCATATATATGCCTATCCAATAAAAGTAAAATATTGGGTAAACTACTTTTTCATTTTCAGTGGTTTCGGTTTGTTTAATTTGAGTACTCGTCTGTGGAGATGTGTCAAATTACATTTTAATTACAACATTGATTATCAACTCAACCCTTTTAATTTAAAGGTAGATTCTATGGTACCTATAAGCTACCATACCTTTATTCACGTGGACCAATGAGAATGTAGCAGTTGAATTATTTAAATCTAAATTAAAAATGATAAAGTGGTGTGGTCCAATCAAATTAATGGTAGGTACGGTACCTCATTTTTTAGAAAGGTACCGGAGTTGTCACCTAATTTAAAATGGTTGACCCAGCTCGTGATGAAACTAACTCTTTCATGATAATATTTAATTATTTATTTCATATATATGTATGTAAATTAATATGAATAATTAAAATATAATTTAAGTAATTATTACTCGAAAAGTGCTATTAAATCATAAAGCTATGATTTAGAATACGGTAAAAAGGCCTTAAAAATTCATAATTCGTATATTGAAACAAATTAAGTTAAAGTTACTTGTGTAAATATATTTGTATTTCATTTCAATTAAAATGTGATACTCGTAGTTATTACCATTCAACTAAGAATATTTGAGTGTATAGCGTTGTGGCTACTTAAAATAAAAAGAGAGATTCCCTAAAACTAAGACAACATTCATAAATAGTACTCCGTAGAACTATCATTTTCTAATTCCTAAAATAGAACTTGTTCACACTTATTCTGAAAAGTTTCAATATAACTTGTTTTTTCAATAAAATTGAATAAGTTATATTTGAGATACAAAACAAACTCAGTGAGTAGTATATTCTATTTCACCTAAAACTCTACAAGTACAAGTTTATTAAGAGCATCTATAATGCTACAATGTGCACGATGCACATGTGACATGACAGATAGCCACATAAATATTAGTAAATAAATTCTTTATCTTTTTATTTGAATGGTTTTATTCAGTTTTGGTAAGTTTTTCTCCACAATGTCAAAGAGATCGTCTAGATGTTGACATTGCAGTTGACATTACAGGGAAAAACTTACTGTAATGGTATAAAGGGATAATTTGAGTTTGCACCCCACTTTATTGTCAAAATTAGACTTTGCACCCCGTTTTTGAAATCCTTAGTATTTGCACCCTAACCCCGTATGAAAAGACAAGAATGCTCCTCGATCAGAAATATGTTGAAGGCCAACAAAATTGTTGACTGAGGGGCATTTTAGTCTTTTCATACGGGGTTAGGGTGCAAATAC